CGTGTGGAACCAATCTGGCGCCTTAAAACCCTCCTAGGATATTATCCTTTGTAACTATCTAAAAATAGGCTTGCTAGAAGGCTAGCAAGAACTCTATCTTAGTTATATAGTTGATCCTATTGCGTATCAGCTCCTTGGCTTAGCGCCTATATGCCCTCTTCAAAGGCGAAAAACACCCCACATTAAGAGGCTGCAGTAGATAGGAAGAGTGCGGAGGCATATATAGAGTAACAATCTTTGCTTCTATGCAGTATTGCTAGAAGTTGACTAAGTTGTAGCTCTTATGACCGTCTAGAATAAGTAGGCGATAGGCTCTAACAGTACGCTCTTTTGTATGCCTATTATAGTGCTCTAGCCACTTCATACCAAGCTCGTTTGTTGTCCAGCCATTCTTAGAGACTGCGAGAACCCAATCCCTAGGCAGGCTGTCTTCTTTATACTAGGCAGACAGGTGGTGCTTGCCCTAAAAGATGATAAAGGGTGGGATCGCCTAGCCAGCTACGCTAACATAAACCACGCTAGTAACCCACTCTTTATTGCCCTGCTGTAGAGATTTTAGCTTTAATTAATAATTAGAGGCTATAACTACTGCTAACGAGTTGTGCATGCCTATTATAAAGCCTGTCTTGTCAAAATTGTACATATCGTCGTCCTAGATCCTATACTTAGCTTTAGTATTCTATATAAGGCGGAACTAGCCCTACATAAGCTTAGGATCTTTATAGAGGGCTCTCTTGTAGTCGTACTTTTAATTAAACTTTATCTTAAGCTCTAGGCGACGCTTTATAAATGCTTTAGGCTAGTTAAGGCCAACAAGGTCGCAGTAGCAGATAGCTAGCAAAGAATTAGCTAAATCTTTGATAGCAGAAAGGCGCAGCGGAAATCCTCTTATATCAAGATCAAGAATATTCTTAACAATCACCTCCTCTTCTATTATAAGTAGTTTAATTAAGTTAGGCGAACAATCTTGTCAAGAAGGCTTTCCTGCGAGTCTTTGTCTTAGGGTACGTTTAGGCACGTTGTAGAGAGCTGCAGCGCGTAGAATGTTAATTATCGCGTCGCATTTAATAGCCTAAATTGCAAGCTGTACTTAAGACTCTTTTAAAGACTTTTTTAAATAAATTTGTTAAGACATCGCGAGTAGTAGTGAAAGTTGATGGGGGCTTGGCATTTTCGGTCACTCGCTATTCTCGGCCACTCGCTATACTTTGACGTTATAGGACTACTACAACTATATTTCTAGACATAAAAAGAGCCTTTAATCACGTGGCTAAAAATAAGCTACTAGAAAATATGAAGGACCAAGGACTTCCCTGCTGCCTGCTATCCTGGACTAAATCCTTCCTAGAAAACAGACTACTAGAGCTATCCTTTAATGGCCAAGTAGAAGATCTATAGGAGGTAAATACTAGTACACCCTAAGGCAGCCCCGCTTCTCTAATCCTATTTCTAATCTACATAAAACTACTAACGTGGTTCACAAGCGAGTCGATCACCCAAGCGAGTCGATCACGCTCCACCAGCGCGTCGACGTCGACACTACAACGCGTAATGACTCAACAACGCACTACTTAGACTTTCTATACTGAATTAGATCTTTAACTTCCTCTCTTTAACTCCTAATCGCAACGTGTTCTAAGCTAAAGACGTGCTGCCTCTATCTATAACGTGCCTTAAAGTACTCTATCTAACTAGCGTACTGGAAAGCGCCCCTAACGCGACTGCGAGCCGAATTTAAAGCGCCTAAATAAGCTAGAAGAGGAGGCTGTAGTTAGGCGTATTCTTGAAGAGTCTGCGCGAGGATTTGCGCCTACAAAGCCTAACGTTTAAGCAATAGCTAATAAACTATTGCATAAGCGTGGGAGCAACCCTGTTAGCAAGAACTAGATTAACAACTTTATTAAGAGGACCTCTAAGCTCCACACGCGCTAGAGCCGTCCTTACAATCACCAGCGAGCTATCTACAAGGACCCAGCAGCTATCCAGCGCTGGTTTGACCTAGTCCAGGCGACAAAGCAGAAGTGGGGTATTGTGGACGACGATATCTATAACTTTGACGAGACTGGCTTTATAATAGGCAAGATTTTATCACAGTTAGTTATTATAGGCTTAGAGGGATATAGCAAAAAGAAGCAGATCTAGCTAGGTAACCGTGAGTGGGTTACTGTGATCTAAGGCGTGGGCGCGTTAGGTCGCCAGCTACCCCCCTTTGTTATCTTTGCGGGCAAGGTGCTTATCAACGTCTAGTTTAAAGACCTGCCTACTAACTAGGTTCTTAAAGTTAGTCCTAATGGCTGGACAAATAATTAGCTTGCTCTTGCGTGGTTAGAGCACTTTGATACTTATACAAAGAGGCAGACTGTGGGTGGGTATTAACTGCTTATTATCAACGGCCATGAGAGCCACTGCTCTCTTGATTTTTAAGATCTTTGCAAGGAGAAGAATATCATTCTTCTCTATATGCCTGCGCACTCGTCTCACCTATTGCAGCCTCTTAATGTCGCCTGCTTCTCGCCGTTGAAGCGCAAGTATAGCGACTTGATCTTAGGCTTAGCACGCAACCGCACCAGCTATATCAGTAAAGAGACCTTCCTACTAGCCTTTAAGGCTGCTTTTGAGCAGTCTATTACAAAGGAGAATATCTAAGCTAGCTTTAGAGGCGCTAGTCTAGTCCCACACGACCCACAGGCTGTGCTATCAAAGCTTGATGTAGTGGTGCGGACACCACATCAATCGCCACAACAGGCAGCCGCCTGGGAGGCGCAGACACCACGCAACGCGCGCGAGGTTGAGGCTTAAAGTACTCTTATTTAACAGAGAGTAAGAAACCGCCCTAGGTCTTCTATAAATTCTCTTAACAAGAAGGTTGTATAGCTAAGTAAAGGGGCTTAGCAAATAGCACATAAGATGACGCTTATAAGAGAGGAAGTAGCTGCTCTTTGAGAGGCTCTAGACACAGCAAATAAGCGTAAGAGCCGCAAGCGGCGATACGTACGCACAGAAGAGACTCTTACTATAGGCGAAGTACAAGAAGTATTAGCTAAATAGGCGGGTAGCAGTCGTGGTGATGGTGAGAGTGCGTCGAAGAGGGTGCGAGGAGAGAGGCGGTGCGGGCGTTGCAAGCAGACTGGACACAACGCTCGTACCTGCGCGGTTAAGATAGATAGTGCAAGTGATAGTAGCGATTCTAATAATTAATTTAATATATCGTAATAGTTTATTAACTGTGATAAAAGACTGTGATAACATGTCGACGTCGACGCGCCGGTGGAGCGTGATCGACTCGCTTGGGTGATCGACTCGCTTGTGAACCACGTTATTTTAGTTAATTACAACAAATGGAAATATCTACTCCTCTTCTTATATAGACAACCTACAGATATCATTATCTACAACATCTATTAAAAAAAACGTTAAATTACTAGAAAAAGAAACCTAAAAACTCTTTAATCTAGCAGGGGAGCTAGTAATTAGATTTGACAGCTTAAAGACTGAACTAGTAAACTGGACTAGATCAAAAAAGGATCAAGATTCTCTCACACTACCTACCTAGGAGACCTTTCAACTAAAATAGCAAATTAGATAGCTAGGCATCTACTTTAATAAAGCCCTTAAGTTCAAGGATCACTACTTTATTAGAAATTAATAGGCAAACTAAGCCTTTACTTGGCTAAGCAGACTAGCAAATAGCAATAAAGGCCTATCACCTAGAGCCTTTAGACAATTATACCTTGCCTACATCACTAGCGTAGCAGACTATAGTTGTTAGATCTTCTAGAAACAATAACAACTAGCTCTTAAACAAAGGCAAATACTACAAAATAGAGCGTGTAGGAAGATTCTAGGCACATTTAAGACCTCCCTAACTATACCTAGTGAGGTAGAGGCCTGCCTCTACCCACCTAGAGTAAGGTTAAACAACGCTCTTCGACAATACGCCTTTAGAGCTTAAAAACTAGCCCTAAACCATCTAATTAATATTGCTATAACTAGCAATAAAGGGGAACAACTAGATCAGATCACTAGATCTATCTCCACAGTCCTTGCTAGAAACACTAAGGAGATACAACATTACGCCTTTACACCTTAGAACTTAAATATCCTATATAAGGTCTATATATCTAAAGAGCCTAAAGATATAGAAGCAAAGAACTATAAGGAACAACTAGTAGATAATAGCCTCTTATCTATCTATTCTAATGCCTTAGCTATAAAGCAAGGCAAAGGTGTAGAAGTAGGGGTTATATTCTATCTAGGAACAACACAAATAGCCTAAGAACAATATAGTATAGGAAATAACTAACTAGCTTACAACAGTGAACTAGAAGGTATTACCCTATGGCTAGAAAAAGCAATAGAGCTAGTAGAGAACTGTTTAGATATAAAAGTCTATGCAGATAATCAAGCTGCTCTACTTAGGTTAAAGACTGCTTCTAATAATCCAGGCCAAGAATGGCAAATTAGATGTATAAAGGCAACAAAGAAACTAGAGGAGATAGGTATACGCCCTAGCCTTTACTAGGTACTAGGCCACCAAGATATCCCTAGGAACGAAAAAGCAGACGCCCTAGCTAAAGAAGCTACTAAGCTAGACTCTCCTTCTACTAGTAAAACTAGCGTAGCTATTACTAGCTTGCGAATTAAGTAGCTAGGAGAGAGAGAATGGCTAAGCTAACTTATTATTATTATTATTATTATTCTAGTTTAACGTCCTTTTTCAGCCCGAAGGGCTATATAAGACGTGTAGGGTTTTTTAGGCCTACAAGTATCTTAGTAGGTTGTTTCTAGCTACGATATTTAGGAGGGGTTTTAACTAGATGAAGGTGAGGCTCGTAGCCTATTGGTTGGTAGGTAGGGGGGGGGAGGATAGGGTGGGGGAGGTGTATGGCTACCTGTTACAGGTATTACTCCTTGTTTTCTGTGTTTCTCTTGTACCAGGCTTGTGTTCTAGCCTTTGTTTCTTGAATAAAGGTAATAGTTGCTTCTATACCCTCTTTTGTTTAAAGGAGGATAGGTAGTGATAGATCGCCTTCGCAGGCTTCTCTTAGTCCTTTCCTTTCCTCTCTATATAGATTACATCTAAATAGAATATGAGGTAGGTCTTGTATAGACCTATAGTTGCAGGGGCAACTATTAGAATCTACTTTCCCTCTCTTATATAGGTAGTCCCTTAGGTAACAGTGCCCTAGTTTAAGTTGGTAGAAAGCGCTAGAAATCTCTCTTCTAGTATTGCTAGGAATAGCGATTTGCTTTCTTATCTTCCACTTGTATTTTGCTGCGTACGTATGTGGATTCTTGCTAGTGGCTTTTTTCCTATACTGTTCAAGTTGGCTTAGCCATTCTCTCTCTCCTAGCTGCTTAATTCGCGAGCTAGTAATAGCTAGGCTAGTTTTGCTAGTAGAAGGAGGGTCTAGCTCAGTAGCTTCTTTAGCTAGGGCGTCTGCTTTTTCGTTCCCAGGGATGTCTTGGTGGCCTGGTACCCAGTAAAGGCTAGGGCGTATACCTATCTCCTCTAGTTTCTTTGTTGCCTTTATACATCTAATTTGCCATTCTTGGCCTAGATTATCAGAAGCAGTCTTTAACCTAAGTAGAGCAGCTTAATTATCTGCATAGACTTTTATATCTAAACAGTTCTCTACTAGCTCTA